CAATGACAATAAATTATTATTATTATTATTATTATTATTATTATTATTATTATTATTATTATTATTATTAGTGCTACTTCATGTGGACTTGTATGTTTTTTAGGCTCTTGGAATTACTGCAGGCGAATGCGCAGGGAGTACAAATCAATACTGTACTCAACTCCAGATGAAGACCCTGCAGAAGAAGCAGCCAACATAATCAAGCAAAGTAACTTGAGTTTTAATTGTCATTTTAATAGTGTTTTAATTGTCATTAACTCTACTTTTAAAATAAAGTTTTCTATAAAGAAATTCTCTGTTGCCTTGTTGTTGCTGTTTAGTCGTTAAGTCTTGTCTGACTCTTCGTGAGCCCATGGACCTGAGCACGCCAAGCCCTCCTGTCTTCCACTGCCTCCCAGAATTTGGTCAGATTCATGATGGTCGCTTCGATGACACTGTCCAACCATCTTGTCCTCTGTTGTCCCCTTCTCCTCTTGCCTTCACACTTTCCCAACATCAAGGTCTTTTCCAGGTAGTCTTCTCTTCTCATGAGATGGCCAAAGTGAGTCTCAGCTTCAGGATCTGTCCTTCCAGTAAGCACTCAGGGCTGATTTCCTTTAGAATGGATAGGTTTGTTCTCCTTGCAGTCCAGGGGACTCTCAAGAGTCTCCTCCAGCACCACAATTCAAAAGCATCCATTCTTCGGCGGTCAGCTTTCTTTGTGGTCCAGCTCTCACTTCTGTACATCACTACAGGAAAAACCATAGCTTTGACTATTCGGACTTTTGTTTGCAAGGTGATGTCTCTGCTTTTTAAGATGCTGTCGAGGTTTGTCATCGCTTTCCCCCCAAGAAGCAGGTGTCTTTTAATTTCGTGGCCAAGAAAGTAAAATCTGTCAATACCATCATATCTTCCACTTGTATTTGCCAGGAGGTGATGGAACCAGTGGCCATGATCTTAGGGTTTTTTTATGATGAGCTTCAGACCATTTTTTGCACTTTCCTCTTTCACACTCATTAAGAGGTTCTTTAATTCCTTCTCCCTTTCTGCCATCAGAGTGGTATCATCTGCATATCTGAGGTTGTTGATATTTCTTAATTCTAGTTTGGGATTCCTCCAGTCCTGCCTTTCTCATGATGTATTTTGCATACAAGTTAAATAAGCAGGGGGACAATATACAGCCTTGTACTCCTTTCCCAATTTTGAACCAATCAGTTGTTCCATGACCAGTTCTAACTGTTGCTTCCTGTCCCACCTATAGGTTTCTCAGGAAATAGATAAGGTGATCAGGCACTCCCATTTGTTTAAGGACTTGCCATAGTTTGTTGTGGTCCACACAGCCAAAGGCTTTTGCATAGTAAATGAAGCAGAAGTAGATGTTTTTCTGGAACACTCTGGCTTTCTCCATAATCCAGTGCATGTTACCAATTTGGTTTCTAGTTCCTCTGCCCCTTCGAAATCCAGCTTGTACTTCTGGGAGTTCTCAGTCCACATACTGCTGAAGCCTACCTTGGAGGATTTTGAGCATAACCTTGCTAGCATGTGAAATGAGTGCAATTGTACGGTAGTTGGAGCATTCTTTGGCACTGTCCTTCTTTGGGATTGGGATGTAGACTGATCTTTTCCAGTCCTCTGGCCACTGCTGCGTTTTCCAAACTTGCTGGCATATTGAATGTAGCACCTTAACCATGTCATCTTTTAAGATTTTAAATAGTTCCACTGGGATGCCATCACCTCCACTGGCCTTGTTGTTAGACAAGTTTTCTAAGGCCCACCTGACTTAACTCTCCAGGATGTCTGTTGCCTACCCACCATATTTATTATATTTCCTTCCATCCTGCCCTTCATCTCAAGGACCTCAGTGCAGGAATGTACGTAGCTACCACTCTTACTTCATCCTCACAACAGTCCTGTGAGAGAGGGAGTGACTGGCCAAAGCTATTTAGTCTGCCTGAAGTAGGGTTTCAGTTTTCATCTCCCTGATCCCAGGGTAGCCCTCTTCACAACTGCACCATGCTGTCATTCAGTTGCTTCCAGGAAAAAGGTGTTCAATAGCTTAAGTATAACTGGTTTCTCTGTGTATTTAAATGTAATTTTTAGAGGAGCTCTTCAGCCTCCCTTAAAGGCAGTGGTCCCCAACCTTGAGTCCCCAGATGGACTGAAACTCCCAGAAGCCTTCACCACCAGCTGTGATGGCCAGGATTTCTGAGAGATGCAGCCAAAGAATATCTGGGGGTGGCCAAGGTTGGGAGTCACCTCTTTAAGGAAAGAGCTTAATTTCCACATACAGGGAGGAAGATAACGCGAGACTACAGTGGTGCCTCGCTAGACAGTTACCCCGCATGACAGTTTTTTCACTAGACATCGGCTTTTTGCAATCGCTATAGCGATTCGCAAAACAGTGATTCCTATGGGGGAATTTCGCAGGACAATGTTTGGTCCCTGCTTCGCAAACCGATTTTCGCTAGATGACGATTTTGACAGCTCCCTCTGCGCTCGCAAACAGGTGTTTTCGGGACCTAAGCTTCGCAAGACAGTGATTAAACAGCTGATCGGCGGTTCGCAAAGTGGCTTTCCTATGGCCGATCTTCGCTAGACAACAATTCTTCCCCATTGGAACGCATTAAACAGTTTTCAGTGCATTCCAATGGGAAATGTTTTTTGCTATACAATGATTTCGCTAAACAGTGATTTCAGTTATCGTCTAGCGAGGCACCACCGTATCTGACTTGTTATTGCTGGTACTGATCTTCAGGGGAAAGAGGCAACTTCCTACCTGCTGCCTTCCCTAAACAAGGACCATGTTGAACAATAATGTCTCTAGTGACTCATCTTTTCCTGCAGTGCCCTTCTTAAGGCTTTCTGTAGTCACTTTGATAAGGAGTGTGAGAAAGGATTCGCATTTTCCTTATACAGTATTGTGGAGGGAGACCATAATGACACCTCAACACACACTGGTCTATCTAAAATTTAAACCACCCAGAGAGTGCTTTAAGTGCTATAGGGGTGGTATATAAGCAGCATGCTTTTTTTGTTTTTGCTTTATTAGGACTCGGGAAACCTGGGTTCAAATCCCTGCTTGGCCGTGGGGTGGCAATATCAAACACATAGCTCAAACCCTCTTGTTGTGTTCTGTGCCCTCTACAGTGATGCCTTGGTTGACAATGTTAATTCGTTCCAGCGAAATCGCTGTAGAGTGAAAACATCGTCAAACTAAATTAAAAAACCCATTGAAACACATTAAAACCAGGTTAATGCATTCCAATGGGCTGAATAGCTGCTCGTCCAGCGAAGATCCTCCATACGACGGCCATTTTCGGTGCCTGTAAAGCGAGGAATCCGTCCTAGAAAACAGAGGGGGGCATTTTGAAAGCTGGTGGCCATTTTGAAACCCGATGATCAGCTGTTTGCTGATCGTCGTAAAGCAAAAAACTGGTTCCCGAAACAGGGAACCGATCAACATGAAGCGAAATTTCCCATTTAAAACATCGTTTTGCGATCACAAAAGGCTTTCAGGGTAAGTGAAATATTTAAGGCAGGGTTTTTCCAGTGTGTGATTGGGTTCTTTTGAAAGAGTGGGCGGGCCAGGGGTTCCGGCGGGAAGAACTGACGGAGACGAAGCAACAGGTACAAACAACGGTTGTTTATTGTCCTTAACTTCAGAAACTCCTAAACCAAATGGATCCAGCATTTCCACCTCCGGCAACAGCTTATAACTTTTAACCTTAACATTCTCAACGTTTCTAGTTTCCTTCACATTCTCTTCGCTCCAAGGGTAGAGCTGGTTATTTGGTTCTATAACGGTGCACTCAGAACCGCACAAGCCGTCCCGCGACACGGGTGCACGACTCGAGATCCCTCCAATCTGGGGAGATAGGGACTGGTACGATAAGGGATCTCCTTCTTCTCCGAACCCAGAATAGGAGATGTTGCTTCCCATTTCCATTTTTCCCTCTGTTCACCAACCCCCTTCAAGTACCGATCAGGTGGTGTAGGTAATAATCCTCCCGTCATCAGATTGGGAAAATCTTTTACCAGCTTCGCGATCCTATCTCTTTGCTCGCCAGTCTCATTGGTCTGTACGCTTCTCTCCTTCAACTCCTTCCTCCTCTCTCTCTCCTCACGTTCCTCTTTTATATCCTCCCATCTCCACCCTTCTGACTCCTCCCTTGCCTGTCCCTCTTTCTCTTCCGCTAGGAACACTTCCACTGCTTTCGTAACTCCTGTTCCTTCATCGTCCAACTTTATCAACTCCACTGCACAGTCTTCATGTTCTTTCTGTGGTTCCTTCACGGAGGACGGCACACTTCTGTTCTCCTGCTCACACAGTGCCACACATTCCCAGTACATTTCCATGACAGATCAGGGACTAAAACCCAGGTCTCCTGAGTCCTAGTCTGTCACTACACCAAATCAGGTATTCCCACATGCCAACAGAGTTGCTACAATCAACTTGATGGAACATAATGGCAACATATAATTAACACTGATCATTTGCTTGTACTCTTTCAGGAGTATTCTAAACAAGAAATAATGGAGGCCCTCTTCCCTCCCACCTGAGGTGACTGCATACTCACCCCCACCTGAAGAGTGGATTTACATACTTATGCTGTGGGCACTAGCCATGTCTGACGTTGTTGGTGCAAAGGAATAATAACTGATATAACATCGAAATCAATGTAAGGTGTCATACTCTCAACAGCAGATAAAAAGCAGATACAGGTTGGCAAAATTACCAATAATTTTCAGAGGGTTAGCTGTGTGACTCTCTAGTCTGTTTTAGTGAATCCAGCAAAGGGTTTTGTTATACCTGAAAGCCTAATAAATTATATTTGGTGTGAGCTTTTGTGCTCCTGCTTGTTTTCATTCATTGCATCCCATCTGCAAGGGGGGCGGCGGGGTGTCTTTTAATATCACAGCTTGGTTTCAATGACTAAAAAAATATTAAGAGAAACGACCATGACCATTGCTTGTATCAAACTATTGTTGTAGGTGGAAATGCTATTCTGATTAGAAGCAGGCTGGGCATTGCTTCTAGTTTGCAGTTCTTTTAGCGCTTACAAAATGGTTGAACAGATTAATTGAGCTGGCGGAAACCTCTAGACAACACTACCACCATGTGGCCAGAGGATTAAGCCATTAATTACCATATTTTTCCATTTATAAGACGCCCCAAGGTATAAGACAACCCTCACTTTTCTAACCCCAAATTAGAATATTTGATCACTGCTTTCCCCACCACTTCTTAAACCTGGGGT